AGAAGGAGTAGGAGAAGCAGAAGGAGGACAAGGAGGAGAGGGAGGAGGTGAAGGAGATGGAGGGGAAGGAGGAGGAGAGGGAGGAGAGGGAGAAGGAGGAGAAGAAGAAGGAGAGCGAAGAGAAGGAGAAGGAAGATGAAGAGGAGGAGGGGGAGGAGGAAGAGAAGGAAGAAGAGAGGGAGGAGGAGAAAGAGAGGGAAGAGAGCAAGGAGGATGAAGAGGAGGAGAAGGAAGAGGAGAAGGAGGGGGAGAAGCAGAAGGAGGAGGAGGAGGAGGAGGAGGAGAGGAAGCAGGAACAAGAAACTCAAAACTGTAAAACAAAACAGAAGAACCAATCTTGGATTATTGTAACATAAATTAGTGACAGACAGAAATCTTCAATTCTAAAACAGAGAGTTAGCACAAAACTTTACTACATCAGCTGTGTGGAGGACTGGTAGGGTATAATGTATCTTGCTAAGGTACCCACCCCGGCCCTGAACAGAAGGGTATCCAGGATGAAAATGTTCTTGATGAAGTAACCTTGAATTGTGGTCTCATTCTAACAGCAAAATGAAACTTTTTTGCAAGCGTGCCACTGCTTAGGTGATTTAGTGGTCAGCGGCTTCATATACTTACTAATTCTAGGCTAGCTACTATTGGGAAACTTATACTAAAAATGATGATTTTGCTTTTAGAATGTAGTGTGGTCCTGTTTAAAGAAATATAAATTTTAAAAAATTGGCACTGGGAATAGAGCTCAGGACCTTGCGCTTAGCAGGCAGGTGCTATGCCGTCCAGCTACATCCCAGCCTGCAGATACAAGCTTACAATAGCATTACATGGCAGTGCTACCTTTTCATTTAGTGCAAAATACTAATTATTCATTCCTGAATAACACACAGACACACACGCACACACACAGACACACACACGATAGCTACGATAAATGTGCTACTAATTTCTATTAATTCATTGAAAGGAGCCCTAGCGCTTATCCTGTTTGAGCTATCCTTCATGCCTCCATCTGGTAATCTGAGCAGCTACTTTGAAGACAGCAATACGCAATATAATAACCATTGTTGATTTCCTATCATCTCACTTTGAAATTCTGTATCATTTTTACTGTTGCTTTCTAAGTTAGGAAATCCCACCAGTAGAAAAGCACGCGAGCGCTTGCGCTCGGGGCGGCGCCCACGGCCAGCGAGCAGCACCGCCGTCCACCTCTGTGGTGAACTTTGGACCCCCAGAGCTTTTCAAGAATGCAGTGAAAAAACATCCGCCAGACCTTCAGGCAGGCTGAGATTCGCCTCCCCTTGCTCTGGCTTCTAATTAGCATCGGTCTCCAGCTTATCAGCCAGATGACTAGCAGACTCAGCTTGAACTGGTCCAGATTAGAACCTTCTTCAAGTTAAGACACAGCCCCAAATTTCAAAACACGGAAGGCAAGAGGACAGCAAAAGCCTGCGCGCAACGAGGCGCAGGGCGCTCCGCTGTTTCAAAAGGGGAATTTATCGTGATAAGCGCTTTGGCCTCAGGTCTGTAACCTGGGAGCGAGCGCAGCTCGGCCCCGCGGAGTCTCAGGGCAAGAGCACAGTCACCGACGTGCTTTGCGCCCTTTGAGGCGTCCCCCTCGGGGGTCACAGCGCCCAGCGTTCTGAGATGTACTTTCCTGCAGTGAGTACCTGCAGCGTTCACCTTCCGCGGATTCGTTGGTGATCTTCGTGTAACCGGGCGGGCACACGATTTTACTGTTAGCCGAGCAGGGTACACAGGCGGTACTAACTGTGAGGACTGACTTCTTATCGCATCGGTTTCCCTGTGCAGACACAAGCAAGAGCGAAACGCCATCAGCAGAGTCCAGTGGAAAGCCAGGCTGGGCCAACCCTACCCCCGGCTCGGCCTTGGCGAGGCCGGATGGCAAGGGGTGGACGAGCAGCATCTGGCTGCCCTTGCCAGTCTCAGCTGGAAATTGTAGCACCGCCATCAGCAGCAGCACGGGCCGGGCTGCGGGGGGGGGAAGAGGCACTGGTTTGCCATCCGCGGACTGCAGCCTGCTATCCCCAAAGTGACACGGTGACGTCACTACTCACTTAGACGACCCAAGGTCAAAAGGCCCCAGGGAGAGCGTTGCCGCAGGGACCCCTTGCTCACACTGGTCGGGGCCCTCAGAGTGCTGACTGTTGTGTGCCATTCCCTTCCTGTTGCAGTCCTAGATCCTCCTAGAAAGGAGACCGCGAGGGCCGGGCTCCTCTTCCGCACTTTGCGGCGCTGTGACGAGACTGCCCAGCCCTGCGTGTGACGTACGGTGGCGCACGCTGAGTGATGATTAAATGCATAAAACGGGGCGTCACACAGCCCCGTGGGAGACAGATGCCCCACAAGGCAGCGCGGGAACTGCTTCTTAAAAGCATCTTGCAAGCGGGCGCTGCGTCCCAGTGCTGTGTTCCCCACAGCTCAGCCTACAGGCCCAGCACTGGCGAGGTGTGGAGAAATGTCCTCAGTCTCAGTGCAGTGTGTGAGATCTGTCCAGGGGAAAGCCTTGTGCTGCAGGATAAGGGTGTGTGCACCCTCTCAGGGGCATTATTTTATGTGAGCTTTGTGCTCCGGAGATAATTAGGGCAGGCACCAGCTGAGGGGAAACTGAGGCAGGCCGGGCGCAGGGACCTGTGCGAGGACACACTACTGTCTTCTGGTCCCTCCACTTTCCCTTTCTCTTCTCTGCACCCAAGGGACACATGGGACATTATCCTTGTGCCTTTAGCAACAGCTTCTTTTGGGGCTCATTACCAACTCAAATGGCATGACGATATTTGCAGCTGAAAGCCACAGCTGGGGCTGTGTGATGTCACCCCCTTCAGCTGTGAGGACACCTCAGCTGTTTTTCTTTTTGATTTTGTGAGACGGGGGTCTCATTATGTAGTTCACCATGCAGCCTTGAACTCTCTGTGTAGCCCAGCCTGGCCTCAGACTTACAATGACCCTCCTGCCTCAGCCTCCTGAGTGCTGGGGCGACAGGCGTGACCCACCATGCCCAGCTATCATTTTATTTTAAAGCAGGCTTTTTCTTGGACAGGTATGTAGGGTGACACCACTTGACATTCATTGCCTACAAGGCTGGATTTGCTACTCTTTCTTAAATCCCTGGGCCTTCACGTGCATGTTTTGGGCTCATGGACCTGTCGTTCAGTATTTATGGCCGCACGCCCCCTGGAAAGCAAACTCAGCTGCGGCCACGGCTGCACATCGGCAGGGCAGCAGACACTTGGAGAAGGGGATGCTGTCACTCTGTCGTAGCATTTGTGGGATAAGTTCAGGTGAGAACAAAACCAAGAGCGGGTAAGTTACTTTCCTGGGGCCCAGCTGCCGACTTGTGGAGCGCCGGAAATAGCCACTCAGCAGACCCACAACGGGCACCGGTCAGGCTCACCCGACGCCCCGGAGGGGATGTAAGAAAGTCTCCATGTTTTCATGAAAAATGCCATATCAAGAGACAGACCCCCGGAGGCCTCTGGTCTGTGTGTCAGATTTATTCTTAAATCTGAAATCAGGCGCTGCAAGCACATTTTCAGTCTGGCCCTCCCGGGGCTCCGCTCTCCAAGAGGAGGCTGTGTGAGCTGCCACAGGGTCCTGGGTGCTGAGGTGCCAAGTAGAGGCAACAGCGCAGCTGCCCAGTTCTGAGGAAGGCAGCAGGGACCGACGGGCACCAGCGCGGTGGGGCTTGTGAAGATTTCTGATGCTTTTGTTCCTTATCAAGTTATCATTGGCCTGGAATTTCCAGAACATTTCTCCACAGTCATATTTATTTTCTACACTTGCAAATGCGGCATGCCAGGAATTGGCTGTGGTGAGGGATTAAAATAAACAAAACCCAGAATAGATAAATCCAAGAAGAGGAGAAGGCAGAGGAGGAGGAGACAGAGAAGGAGGAAGAGGAGGAGGAGGAAGAGGAGGAGGAGGAGGCGGAGCAGGGTTAGCGCTAGAACCAGTGGTTCTCACAGGAGGGTGACCAGAGGGCTAGGACCACAGAGATCCTCTTTAGATTTTGAGTCTTTTCTTTTCCTCTTTTTTAGTACCAGGACTCTAACTCAGGATCCCGCACTGGCTAGGCAGGCGCTGTGCGGTCCAGCCACATCCCTGGTGTTTCTATTCTTCAAGCTTTCTCATGGTTCTGGAAGCCCAGCTAGGACCCTTCACCCTGCCAATGTGGGCAAACAAACTGCCTTTAAACACACTGTGAAAACTCACAAATAAAGTATGCAAGTTTCCTCTTACCTGTTCTGTGGTGCCAGCCAGGGGGCAGGCCTTTTGTAAAACCAACCCAAGGAAAATAATCACGAAGCGTGGTGGCATGTTGATGAATCCCGAGTATCGTCTCCACGCCGACCTCTGGCCAAGCCCTGTCTCTAGTCTAATGTTCGATGACTGGCCAGCAAAATCTTTCTCATTTCTGTGTTTACTTTTAAATCCCTTTCTTCTCCTAGATTGAGTCAGAAGCTTTACGGGAACTGCCTAAGACAGGAAAAGCAGCTTGTCCAAGGTCCTGCGCCCCAGGGTATATATGTCCTGGCTGGATGACAGGATTTCCTGAAGGGCAGAGGCAGGGCCCGGACCCAGAGCTTGTGCCTTGCCTTGTGGACTCCCGGAAGAGGGCCTCCTCCTGCTGCTCCCCACCTGCTCCAAGCCTGCCTGAGGTGGGTCCCACAGCCCTGCAACAGGTCCCACAGCCCTGCGGCCCACTCCACAGCAGTCCCACAGAGCACCACTCCTGCTGCCTACCCCAAGCCCTTGGGCAGTGTCCTGGGGCACTGTGGCAGCCTGGGTCCCCATCTTGGTGGCTTCACCAGACTCCCTGGAGATGCTGACAGTTGCGTTCTTGACTGATCCTGTCTCGACTTCTGGGTCACTCTAGCAGCACGTGATGGAGCCTGGATACATGATCTTGCTCTTCCAGGCCCAGTCTGATGCCACCTCTTTCAGGAAGCCTTCCTGTCTTGCTCCTTCACACTTGCTTCAAGATCTTCCCAGAATTTGGCACACAACACCAGGAGGTTGCACAGGTCACATGTCATCTGTCCACATGGCTGTCTCCCAGCCCGGGCTGTGAGTTCCCAGAGACCATCAGCATAGCCTTTATCTACTCTGTCACCCTTAAAGCCTGGAGCAGACCTGGTACCCAAGACAGTAAAACAAGTTGTAACAGCCAGCACTTTCTGGAAGCTTCCAGGTGCCAGCCACTGCTTTGGACCTCTCTGGGTTTGCTTATTTAACCCTTACACACTCAGTGAAATACAGATTATTCTTCCCCCTTGACAGATGGGTAGGCCACGGCAGAGAGATTAACCATTGTATCCTGAGCACCTAGTAATGGCCAGGCGGAGGTGGAGAATCCAGTGCTTAAATTACCATTCCAGAGCTGCTCACCACCATCCTCTACTGCCCAAACCAGAAAATATTACATGGATAACTGAATGGCAGGCGTTCCAGACCAAACGGGAGGCAGGGGGGACTGGTGCTGAGTCAGCGCTGGGCAGGATAGCCTGAGCTTATCGCCAAACAGGCTCAGGAGGCTATCGGAGGAAGCCGAGTTTTCTGGGGACACTCACGCGGCCCCAGATGCTAGCCATAGTGAAGTGATACTCCTTCCTCTGCAAAGCCTCCCCCATCTCTCTTGCTCTCTGAGACACTGCATTGCACTGCCTAGCACCCTAAGAGACTTTCCAGTGTGGGCCTGTCAGAGGCTAACCGGGGTCGAAAGGGAAGATGCCTCGTATCCCTGAGCTCAGTGAGTCTTAACCGTGGCTCTGCGTTGGAATCCAGGGTGACCTTGAAATGAACCCTGCAACCCCTTTCCCTGCTCTGAAACAGTCACATCAGAGCTCGCGGGTGGGCGTGGGGCCTGGAAGGGGTCCTCACACTTCCCCTGTATGATTTCTTTCACCCCCTCTGGTGTGCACAGAGGGCATCTGCGAGCTCGTCCCTCTCAGCAGCTGTGCCACCTCAGTCAACACTGCAGGGAAAGGAGCCGGCAACTTCTCGCTGATGTGGGGCTCAGAACGGGCCAGATTCCAGCTGAAATAATGAAATAAATCCACGCTGGCATTTCCTAATAGTGTTCACCAAAAGCTGCTCGCTTCTGGGAGAAGCTGCAGTGGGTATATGGGAGGGAGGGTCCCTCTTGCCAGGTGACGTCCCAACCCTTTCCTGGGGGTTGTCCAAGATTCTGAGAAGTCGTGCAGTAGAAGCCGCATCACAAAACAAGACCAAAAACAGCTCAATTTTGTTTAAGACAATGCTTCCAAACTTGGAAACCAAGGGGTCATTTTCATTTTGCAAATTCCAATTGACAGTCTCCAGAGCTGGTGTTCTGATGGCCTCTTGTAGGGAAAAACAGCCTCAGACTTTAGCAGGTAGGCTATCATCTATCTATCTATCTATCTATCTATCTATCTATCTATCTATCTATCTATCTATCTACCTATTGAGAATTTAGTAGAGGGTCAACAGGGTCTCACTACACAGATGGGACTTATAGTGATTCTCCTGTTTTTAGCCTCCCAAGCACTAGGAATACAGGTGCACGTCACCATGCCCAGTCTCAGTTGCCATTTCAGTGTAC